TCCCCCTCACCGCCGCCACCGCCGCCATCGCCGCCGCCATCTCCGTTTCCGCCTCCGCCACCATCACCGCCGCCGCCTTCCCCGCTCCCGCCCCCGCCATCGCCTTCTCCGCCCCCTCCTCCCCCGCCCCCTCCGCCGCCCCCCTCTCCGCCTCCACCATCACCCCCGCCCCCTCCCCCCTCGCCGCCGCCGTCGCCGCCTCCAAACTCCCCGCTCGGCTTCGAAGTCCAAGGAACGGCGACAATCACGGTCGGGACTTCCACCGCCGCCGAGGTATTTGGCGAAGCAACCGTCGCCGGCGCAAAAGAGGTGTTTGTGGGCTTTCGGCGCCGCCTTCGTGCGCGCAACCTGGCTGTGGACGTCGACAGCCTCGTCGTGTGCCAGCTGCTTGCCACAGCGCCAGCATCCGAGGAGTGCACTCCGTCGCTTCCCGACACTCGGTTGCTCAAGGAGAATCCCTCGGGCACCGTCACCGGGGTGGTTTGGAGGTACGAAAAGTTCTTTCTACAGGATCGCGCAAGCACCCAAGACGAACAATCATCCGCCGCGCGGGCGTCGCTCGACGCTGCAGTGACAGCCGAGCTGGATGCAAAGCTCGCCTCGTGGCAAGCCTCGGCGGGCCGGCGCGAGCTCAAGGGACTCCCCATCAGGCGTGACGATGCGACGAACTCGGTCGGGTCAGCGGCATCCCGCATCGCCCCGACCGCCCCCGACCCAGAGCCAAAGGACCGCCGCCAGATGTCCACACTGGGAGAAACCGAGGTGAGTTCCAAGACAATCTTTCCCCCTCGCCCGCCGCCGTCGCCTCCGTCGCCCATGCCGCCCCCTAGCGACACGGAAGAGAGTGGCTCCACCAACGTGGGACTGATTGCCGGGGCGGCGGGCGGCGGAGCGGCGGGGCTACTTCTCCTGGTCGGCGGCGGCTACCTCATCACTCGCCGCAAGCGGAAGGCCGCCGCTGCCGACGGAGGCGAGAGCACAGTAAAGACGGAGACGTCTCAAACAGGCGCTCCCTCGCCGTCGAGCCGCCCCGCGAGTGGCCATTCAACAAACGTGGGGGGAATGGAGACTACCGACCCGTCTGCTGCAGCCTCAGAAGTGTCTGTGAGTGGCGGCGCTCGTGGCCGACTGGGCGTACGAGACACCCGGCGGTCATCGCACGGAATGTCCGTGTAACACTGACGCTTCTCGAGCCCGACGAGCAGAGTCTCTCTTGTGTGCGTTTGTTGATTGCAGCCCGAGCGAGTCGCAGTATCGCTACGAAAAGGCAACATGATTAACAAAAGACACGTGCGCACCCATATGAACACATGCTCATCGCACATCGGGGTGTACAGAACCCTCTCCTCCGACTTGTGACACTTTTTTTAGTCCCAAAATGCAAAAATCATTCACAGGCAGTCATTTTCGGCCGGTACTAAAGTCGCCTGGGAGGCAGGGAGGGTGGTATGTCGAAGTCACGCACAGGGCACACGGGGATCGGAAACACAGTACTGTCGAAACTAACACGCCTTCGGGACGCGGCGAGCGCAGACACCAGAGCAACTGAAGGGGTGTCGCGCGACTCCCAAAGTCCCACCTCACATTCATACCACACCCCTTTTTGTTCGGAAGGAGCCACCAGCTGCGCGCACGCGGTGCCCGAGCTGCTCGTTGTCCTCACGGCCGCGCATGGCAAGCATCTCTCGTCGACCATCCAAGGCAAGTCTGCCGCATCGTCTCCAGTGCAGCGCGCACCACGGCACCTCTGACAGCTGTGTGGAGACCGCCGCTCCCCTCTCCCTCAGCGCTGCCCGAGGCATGCAAACCGCATGGGCGCCGCCCTCGGCGGCCCCTCCTGCTTCGACTCGGGCGCCGCTCCGCCCGCCCCGCCGGCGGCCGCTCTTCCAGCCGGGAAGCCCGAGCTGCCTGAGCCGCCCAGCGAGAGGTCGCTGGCTTCGTCGTCGAAGAGGCAGTTGTGGGGCACGCGCGCGCCGCGGATCGGTGGCGCGGCGCGGCGGGCGGTCAGGGCGTCGCCGCCAGCGCCGCCGAGGCGGGGTGCCTAATGCTTTGGAATCTATGTGTGGACATGATCTCGAGTGGAGCCCCAGTCCTCGGCAGGCTCGCGCCTGGCAGCCGCCTCCGCCGATGAGCGCGGAACGGAGGGAGGAGGGGGCTGGGGCTGCTCCTCCGCCGGGGCTGCCGGGGTTTGGCGACCGGAAGAGCGGGCCCAGGTTGGTCATGGATGGCGGCCTCGCTTGCATCGGAGGTGCGGAGAGAGCGCCGCCGCCGCCGCCTAGCCCGCCTTGCCCGCCGCCGGGGGCGGCGTCGTCGCCGAGCCAGTCGAGAACGGAGCGCGCGAGGTGGCCGCCATTGTCAAACGAGACTATCGGCGCGGCGTCGAGCGCGGCGGGCGGCTCGGTCCATGGGCGCCGGGGCGCCGGCGCCATTGCCGCCGCCGTTGCCGCTGCCGGCGGTGCCTGCTCCGGTTCCGGTGGCGGTGCAGCTTGCGGCCCCGCCCGCTCGTCGAGGCGTCCGAGTCGAAACAGGCCGCCCGGGCCGGGGACGAGGCTTCTTCCGGGGCGAGCGGACGGCGCACCGCCGCCCCGCAGAGCGGCGGCCGAGGGGGCGGCCGAGCGGCGCGCGCCCGCCTCGATGATGGCGGTGGTCGTGTCGGTAAAGGCCAGGCGGCTCGGGATGGCTGGCGGCACGTGGCGCGGCGGCGACGTGGCGGCCGACTCTTGCTCCCTCCTCGCCTCGAGCTGCAGCGCACCTCCGAGGTGGGCGGCGGCGTCCATCCGCCGCAGCGGCGGGCGGCGGGGAAGCAGCTCGGCCGGCTGGTGTCCAAAGGTGGCGCCGTCCCGCCACGACCGCCACGCCTCGGACTGGGCGGGCGCGGCTGCGGCGAGGCAGCCGCCGCCGGACGGGGCGGTGAACCGGCCCGCGGCTGCTGGCGCAAAGGTGGTGGCGGGGCTGTCCCTGCTCGCCGACGGCTTCGACGGCGGCTCGAGCGAGTCGGGGAGCGGCGCGATGGGGAGGCGCACCGGCGTGGAGGGCACGGACCTCGCCCGGGCCTGCAGCTGTGCAATGTGCCGCCCGCCGCTCGCGCCCTCCCGCTCGCTCGAGAGCACGCGCGCCGGCTCGCGCTCGGCCACCGCCCGGCTCCTCGCAGCCGCGGGCGCGGTGCTCCCGTCCCGGAGGTGCACGCCGTCGCTGGAGAAGCCAAAGTCGCTCTCGCCGGGCCTGCTCTCTGCGGGCGAGGGCACTCCTGGCGCCGGCTTTGGCCGCTTCGACATGGCCGGCGCCATGAGCGGCTGCTTTGGCGTTGCGGCCCGGAAGTGGCTCAGGAAGGCCACCCCCGCCGGCTGGGGCGCCGGCGGGCTGGCTGTCGGCTGGGGGCGCTTGCGCTCGTGGGCGGCCCGGTTGCGCTGCGAGCGGAGGCCTTGCTTGCAGCACAGGTGGCCGCACGCCTGCTTGTCCTTGCAGAGGTGGCCGCAGGGCGCCGCCTCTGAAGCCTCCCCGTCGCCGGTGGGGCCGGCGTCCCTCGGCTGCAGCCGCCGCGGCGCCTCGCCAAAGAGGTCGGCGTCCGGATCTAGGGACGCGCTTCCGCCGACGGGGCCAGCAGCCCTCGCGCCCTCGTCGTCGTCGTCGCTGTCCTCAAAGTCGAGCGCCGCGAGGATGTCAAACGCCGGTGGCGGCTTTTGCGCCGCTGCGGCTGCTGCCGTGCGGCCGCCGCCTGCGCCGCCGCCTCCGCCGCCCGCAGCGCCGCCGGGCCGAGCCTTGGCGGCCGCCGTCTTCCGTCCCTTTGGTGCGGCCTTGGCCCGAGCCGACGGCGCGGCGGGTGGGAGCGGCACGTCTGTCGCGCCTGGTAGCGTGATCGTGCAGTCGAGGTCGATCCCGAAGCAGTCGAGGTTCAGGAGGCTCGCCTCGAGATGATGACGAGCGCTCGCCGGCGGCACGCTGAACGAGAAGGCGAGCGCCCCTGCCGGACTCGAGAGAGCCTCGGCCGTCGAGAGCTTGCGGCTGAGGAGCAGGCGCCCTTCGTAGTCGGCAATCACGAGCCGCCACCGGGACCGCACGCTGCCCGCGAGAGCCGGCGTGAGCGGTGCCGTCGGCGAGGACACGGGACCGACGCGGATCGAGACCCGGAGGCCGCCGCCGCCGCCGCCCTCGCGGCTGGGCCCGGCCCTCTCCACGTCAGCCACCAGGCGGAGCTCGGAGCGGAGGAGTGTGCGCGCCTCGGCCAGGTGGCTGCTCGCGCGGGGGGCAACCTGGTCGACTCGCAGGCTCGTGAGCTGCCCAAACGCCTGCAGGCTGCCCTGGCTCGCCTCGGACAGCCGCGCCGCGGTCTGCGCACCCACGCCGGTAAACTGTCGAAAGGCAGCGGTGGGTGCGTCGTGCCAGCCAGCGCCCGAGGAGAGAGACTTGTGCAGCCGCACCGCCGCGCAGAGGGGTCCGCTGAGCCCAGCAGACTCGGCGTACTCGATCATCGCGCGCAGGACGCGGCAGCCCTTCTCCTGCATCAGTATCCTCGTGTCGTCGAAGCCCTCGAGGGGTGCGCCGCTAGCGCGGAGCTGTAGCAGGAGGAAGGCCTTGCTCGCCGGGGTCTTGCACTTGGACTTGCGCGATCCGTCGATCGGGAACCGGATCTTCTCTTCCGACGCGTTGATGGCGGCGAGCGGCTTCTTGTCGATGGTGCGCAGCGCGAGCCCTCCGCCCAGCTCCTTGGAGGTGGAGAGCAGGGAGAGTACATCGGGCAGCGACGCGGTCGCGGACAGCTGCGGGAAGAGGGTCATCGTCTCCATTTCGACGCAGAAGCGCGCCATCAGGTAGCCGAGGTTGCGAGGCCGCACACGCGCGGCGCCCCCTCGTGCCGGATCGTCGGTCATCTCAATCATGCCCGAGTCGGCCAGCTCGCGGAGTTTGTTGGCGCACAGCGCCACGAGACGGCCCTCGAGCTCCGATTCGGCGAGCCCGCGCACGATTCCGTACCGGGCGGGGTTCTTTCGAACGCGCGCAAAGAGGTACGTGGCGCGCAGCCACTGCGCCGCCGCCTCGGTGCTGCTCATGTAGAGCTGCGAGGCGATCTCCGAATTCAGGTGCGCGGGGAGCTGCTTCTGGAGCTCGGACTCGATGGTGCACTCGCCGGCGAGCATCTTGCGGTAGACTTGGGACTGCTCGGCGCGGCACATCACGACGCACGTGCCAGAGGTGTCGAACTGTGGCCGGCCGGCGCGGCCCGCCATCTGGAGCACGTCCATCTGCGAGTACTCTTTGAAGCCGCCCGCGATGTAGCGGCAGGTGTTGCAGAGGACGACGAGATGCGCCGGGAGGTTGACGCCTGCGTGGAGCGCGCGGGAACACGCTCTGACAAATGAACGAGGGGATGGGCGCGGGGCGGAGAGGTCTCGGGTGCAAGCGCCTTGCGCGAGCCCAACTGTCGAGCAGAGGATGGGCAGCTCGCCCGCACGGAACGCGCCCTCCACCAGCCGCTTGTCCTCGGTGGAGAGCCCGGCGTGGTGGTGCCCGACGCCCCGGCGAAGCTGCTCCGCGAGGCGGTGGTCGGCGCAACGAGACGCCACCACCCCGAGTGCACGCGCGGTCTTTTCCACCTGCACGAGCACTCCTCCGGCTTGGCGCGCCACCTCCTCCGCCCCTTTGGCCGCATTCTCGCGCGAGTTGAAGAAGACCATGGTCGGTCGGCTGTTGCAGTGGCTGCGCACCACCTGGAACACGTGCCTGCGCAGCTCCTCGTCGAACCGGTACGTGATGTTCATCTGCCAAGAGAGCACGTGCCACGAGAGCGGCACCGGCCGGAAGGCGGAATCAAACTCCAGGATTGCGCACTGCGGTCCGAACCAGGCTCCAATGTCTTCGAGGTTGGCGATGGTGGCCGAGACTCCGACGAGGCGGAGCGACGCGATGGGACAGGTTCGAGTGTCCGGGCTCTGCGCGTGCAGCTTCATCCGCGCGATGACCGCCTCGAGCGTCGGCCCACGGCTCTCATCGGCCAGCAGGTGGATCTCGTCGACGAGGACCAGACTGACGCGGGCGAGGACACTGTGTGCCGAGCGGCGGAACCGCGTGAAGGCATCCCACTTTTCGGGCGTCGCCACGATGAGGTCGGCTCGCTCGGCCGCTGCTTCCTGGTCCGCCTCCGCGTCGCCTGTGAGCTCGCAAATCTGGATCTCGCTCCCGGCGAGCTTTTGCCGCCAGTCGTCGAGCCGCTCCGCAGTGAGCGCCTTGAGTGGTGCGATGTACACGGCAGCAGCGCGCGAGCCTCGTGCTTCGGCGCACCACGCCTCGCTCGACCACAGCCGCGCCAGGCACATCTCCAGCACGGCCGTCTTGCCCGACCCAGTTGGCGCAGACAGCACGAGGTGCCGGTCGCTGCAGTAGGCAACGTCGACGCACTGCGACTGCATCGCGTTGAACTGGCGGTACGGGAAGAGCGGCCGGACGCTGAGCGGCAGTGCATCGACAGGCACGAAGGGAGTTTCGTCTTGGTCGTTCTCCATCGGATTCGAGTCTGTTTGTGTGTCCCGTGTCGCGGCAACTCAAAGCACAGCGCGAGCGGCCACTACAGCGTCTTTTCACACAGGAGGAGGGAACATCGCTTCCAGAGGGGGGGGGGGGGGGGGGGCGTGCTTTCTCCACCCCACATGCTAGGGGGGGGGGGGGTGGTTTTCCCTCCCCCCCCCCCCTGCGCTCGGGGGCTGCCCGCCGTTCCGTGTGCTTCCGCCCTCCTTCT